TATCCTATTTGGAGTTTATTAGCTTCTTGGATCTGTAGGTTTACGTCTTTCACCAAACGTGGGAGGTTTTCAGCCATTCTCTCTTTGACTACTTTCAAGTCCCACACTTTCTCCCCCCTTCTGGACTCTGACGGTGCAGTCCTAGCCCATTTGTTGTTGTCGCCCTGGTTTCTTGGACTCTGTGTTTCACGCTGAGTAAATTTATTGATCTGTCCTCAAGGACACTGATTTGGTCCTCCAGCTTTCCCACTCTACTGTTGAGTTCATCCAAATTTTTTATTTTATAATAATTTTTCATTTCTATAATTTTCATTTTTTATAACTGCTGGGTTTTTTGCTAAGATTTTCTGTTTTCACTTTAAGAGAATTTGTGGTTGATTGTTGAAGCATTTTTATTACACCTGCTTTTAATTCAGGTAAATTCTAACATCTGAATTATATAAGTATTGGTATCAGATGATTGTCTTATTTAGACTGGAGTTTTCCTGGTTTTGAGTATGATGAGATTTTCTCTTGTATCCTGGACATTCGGGCTATTATATTAGGGATGTCTTAATCCTATTTGCATCCACTCTTTCCCAGGTAAGAATCCTGTTTAGGTGCAATGCATAGGTTCTTGCTGCTTTTATGAGTTTTAGCATCAACGACGGCTCGGTTTTTCTGTGCCTTTGCACTACTACTCTGGTCTGCTTTGTTGTGGAGGCACTGCTCCCGCTCAGTCCATGCCGATGTCCTCTGTGGTCCAGAGGTGCTTGCTGGGCTGCAAGGTGTCACCGGGCCATCCTCTGCACAGGGGCGGGCACCCGCGGTTCCTCACGCCACAGTGTGGGGAACAGGGCTTCACTGCCGCTGCAGATGACTTGGGCCCCGATGCCCCAGCGTGGAGCTAGGGTTGGGGGCGCCCCACTAGGTCTCTGTTGGGCTTCCCGTCCCCTGTACTTTAGCAAAGAAAGCAGCTGTTCTTTCTCTCCTGTCCACGGCGGGTGATGGTTCTGGTTGCTGGTCTCTCCGGGGCCCAGTCTGGGGTAAACGGAAGATGGAAGAAACAACAAGAACCACCCAGGAAACTCACCCCATTGTTGTTCCTCAGGTGCCTAGTCAGCCCATCGCCTTCTTTGCAACTTTCAGGGTTCTTTCATCGCCGTCTTTTGAATAAATGTCCAAGGTAATTAATTATAGTTAGAGGAGAGAAGGAGGGAAGGTGGTTCTCTGCCGTCTTGTTCTGAAACCTGACTTTGGAAGGAAGCAGTGGTTTGGAACTGTATTCAAAGGGCAGGACAAAGTAGAGTAAGCAGTGAATCCCTATTAACTCCACCAGGTAGAAAATGCCTACTGAGGCTGCACTGTGTGATTCAAGAACGGGCTCTGTGCATATACAAGGCCTGGCACAAATAACGCCCTTTTTAAAAATTACTAAATCTTAAGCATGTAATTCTGTAACATAACAATATCACACTCAAGCACACCATATGACACTTTACGGAAACTGGTCAAATTAAAACTGTAAATTATCACACCCATATTATTACCCTACCAACCACACTCAAGCAGGCGTTACTTCTGCCGGACGCTGTGCATGCTGGTCTGAGGTTATTAAGTAAATTGACAAGTGCTCTCATTTTTTTGATGTATGATCCTGTGTTTGGTGGAATAAGTGATGTAACACTGATAAGTGGGTGCAAAGTTTTGATGGGCCACTTGGCTTAAAACATGTGTCCTTTTAAAAATATACTGGTCCAACCTCGAGTGGCTAATATTTAACACAGCCAACCACTGCCTGCAATGGTTGCAATGTCCTTAAATCCGTCTCCTGTGGGGAGTGGAGTGGGTGGCAGAGAAGGCTGCAAATTTCCAGATCAAGGATGGCAAACAGGATTGACTCACTGGCTAATTCTGCTGAACTGATACTGGATAGTGTCCTGAAAGATCCAAAAGCTGTGCCTAGATTCAGCAGGCGAGTTTGGGGAGCAGTGAGAGCAAGAATGGGTGATGCCAGTGCCTATGCCCCGCCCACTGCACATCCCTGACCTGCGCTGGTCTGCTAGAGCTCACACGCTCTACGGCTGCAGGCACGGGCAGAGACTCACCTGAGCTGGAAAGCTCACGGGGAAAAACAAGTTATGTCTCCAGAGCATGTAATAAGGGGATTTCTTAGCATGGAGGCCCAGACTGATGGATTTTCGTGGCGCTTTTGCCCAGGAGCTCAGAATGGATACATTCATAGCTGAAGTGCGAGTCAGAATTGGATTTACGCACACAGGCCAATATGTATTTGTGAACGGGTGCATTTTTTTCAACAACACTCTTCTGCTTTTTCCAAACAGCAGAAATACTTTCCAAGTGGACCCTCTGTCCCCAGGGCCCTATTCACTCTCCTCTCTCACGTGGTATCAGACAAACAGCTGTAGACACAGCTTGTCTCCGGGGCAGAAAAGGAGCCACTGGGACAGGAAATAAAGCTGGCATCACACTTCAATGCCTTGCTTCCTAATGTACAGAAAGAGAATTATTACCCGTTCCACTGACAATTATGGAAAAATATTAAGCAGAAAATGTCTGTTGAGTAGTATGAAATGCAAAAAAAAAAAAAGTCCTCTAGTGCTCAGCCACTGTGTTCCTGGGCTGGAGGAAAAGCCCCGCAGATTCGATCAACAAGCTGCCTCCCTCGGGGGTTTTTCACGGGTACTTTTGAAGTCAGTGTTTTCCACCTGAGAGCTGACTCTCGATCATGGCTCTCCTGTGAAATACAAGGTTGTGTGTGCCGTTCTGCCCTCAAGGGGCAGCTGCCCCTCCTGCCCTGCAGAAGCAGCTCAAGACTAATTCCACCTGATAAGAATCCAGTATTCTGTAAGTACAAAGAAGTCCTCACCCTTTTTCTAGAAAGGTCTGAAAAACGTGATCTGGTGACGTGAACCTACCAGGTTAGTGAGCTAGAAGGCTGCAAATGTGTTCTTGTAACAAGGCGAAAATGGACATTTCTGAACGGGCAGCAAATCTTTTCCCTGGTGCTTCACCATTAACCCGATCTCCTCTCCTTCTCATGAGGAAAAGAGCTTGAAAACTCGTAAATTTATAATACTTTTACACAGGTAAACTTCCAATAATTTTTGTCAGTGTCAGAAGCTACAGTCACACTACATATTACAGGAAATTCTAGCCATGAACACATTCCTCACTTATAATCAATTATTTAACAGGTGGCCTTGATGATGGGACCATAAAAGGACTGAAGGTATATACGATGGTGGTTAGCGACCATCTCTGGTATTAGTCTTGGGCTCAAATACCAGAGCTCTGCCATTTACCGTATTTTTAGGACTATAAGATGCACCTAGGTTTTAGAGGAGGAAAATAGGAAGAAATTTTTTGAAGCAAAAAATGTGGTAAAATATTTAATAACCTGTGACCCCACTCCACCACCGCCCCCACCACGGCAAGCCAGGTAAGCTACATTCGGACTATAAGATGCACCTCTTTTCCTCCCAAATTTGGGGCGGTGCATCTTAGAGTACGAAAAATACGGTATTTAAAGCTGTGTGAGCTTGAACATATTCTTTAAATTTTTTTGTTTTATAATTTTAATTTTAAACTTTCTAAGCCTTGTTTTTCTTATTGTAGAACGGGTATGATAAGAATCCTATGTTAGGTTCAGAGTATGTATCAATGTAATATACCCAAAGGCCTTAGCATAGCTCCTGGCACAGAGTAAAGACTTATCTACACTGGCTACTGATAAATAAAATTCTCTGGGCTAAGATATCTCACAAATCCTCTGTGACAGTTTCGTTCAGAGACAGCCCATTAGGCCCACACTCAGAGCCTATATAATTTGATTTTCAGTCAGGATTGACGTATCGTGGCTTAGACAGAGTTTCAACAAGAGGTCTCGTCTGGTTTCCCGGGATCTAGCGTGACAGAAGCCCCTGTCATCCGAAGGTAGGGACAGGCAAGGACCAGGACAGCTGTCAGTAACGAGAGGGACACATGGTGGAATAGAACAAATCAAACAAAGCAAGGACCCAATTGTAGGAGTCTGAGCGTGTGTAGGAAGAAGACAAGCAGCCTCGTACCACAGAACAACACAGTAACTCATACTGATGGTGAGGTGTGCCTCAGGCGTCCATAGAAGTTCACGTATGCTCACTAGTCAAGAAGGCAGAGAGCCAGCTTTCCAGTGCCAGGCAAGGACTCACCATCAACATTTTGGTGCTTGAAGCCAGGGGAACCTCATTTGCATGGAAAAATCCCCTTGGCCCTGGCCGGTGTGGCTCAGTGGGTTGAGCGCCAGCCTGCAAACTGAAGGATGGCTGATTGGACTCCCAGTCAGGGCATGTGCCTGGGCTGTGGGTCAGGTCCCCAGTAGGGGGCGTGTGAGAGGCAACTGATAGATGTATCTCTCACACATTGATGTTTCTCTCCCTCTCTCCCTCCCTTCCCTCTCTCCAAATAAATAAACAAATAAATAAATAAAATATTTTTTAAAAACATCTTTAAAAGCCCTGGCTGGTGTGGCTCTATGGACTGAGTGCCAGTCTGCAAACCAAAGGGTCACCAGTTCAATTCCCAGTCAGGGCACATGTGAGAGGCAACCACACATTGATGCTTCTCTCCCTCTCTCCCTTCCTCCCTTCCCTTCTCTTTAAAAAAAATAGTAAATAAATCTTTAAAATTTTTTTAAATTTATCTTTAGAGAGGAAGGGAAGGAGAGAAGGAGAGAAATATCAATGCGCGGTTGCCTCTCATGAGTCCCCTGCCAGGAACTGGCCTGCAACCCAGGCATGTGCCCTGACTGGGAATCGAACCGCGATCGTGTGGTTCACAGGCCTGAGCTCAACCCACTGAGCTATGCCAGCCAGGGCTCTTTTCAATTTTTTAAAATTTGTTTAAACTCTTTAAAAAATCCCCTTGGGTAAAACCACCCAATTCCCAACAAAGCTGGGTACAGGCAGTGTCCCCCCCCTTTCTGAAGTTCACATGGCTGCAAACCGGTGCTGTGTAAACTCGCCGCCCCCACCCTGAAAAGACAGTGGCTACTTGACTTTGGTACAAACGGTCAGGGTCAACTCGCCTGCGATCCTTTAATGAAGGAAATGTGTGATTCTGTGACATCCCCCTTTCCATGTTTTCTGCTCCCAGAGGGGGGTAGTGGAAAACGACAGAAAAACCAAAACGAAACAGGACTTCCCACATCTACTCTTCCTAGTGACGGAGTTCATGGAAAAGTCTGCCCCTCCGTACACTTGCGATTTCTTGGTGGTAGCGGGGCGGGACTAGGCGGTCTCCCAGGTCCTCTCCCGCCTGGATGTTCTAGGACCCAGTTACCTGACCCAGCTAATAGGAACCCAGTGAGCGTCCTTGCCCAGCTTCTCTAAGAGCACTCTGAGCTGGCCGTATGCACTCTGGAGATCCTCCTTTACCAGCACGGCGTCCACCAGGTGCCCGTAATGCTGGTCTATGAAGGCGGCAGAGGCAGACATCTCTTGCTGCTCCTCATCCTGCAAGGAAAGGGACGCTTAGGGAGCAACGGGGCAGTTCTCCCCCCAAATAAGAAACCTACAGCTGGTGTCTTGGGCAACGTTCCAACCTCTGCTTTTGAAGAGGTAAGTGATGGTTATGGCCCGTGAATAGCCAGCTGTGTTCACAACAGAGTGGAGTGACGATATCCTACCAAACTCCCAAGAAAGTAAATGGACAACAGACAAAAATCAGTGTACGGTCATTCATTCGCAAAAGATCTGCTCCAGACCTGTTAACTGCAAGCCATGACATGAAGTGCTTTGGGGGCAGGGGACGGGGGATGCAGATTCTATATCTGTGTCAAAATCACACTTCCTGTCCACAGGTATTTCCAAAGAAGCGGTGCTATTGGGTTGCATGGCAATTCGGTTATATAATCACAGGGAATATCTATAAATAATAATATAAAAGTGGGAAAAAAAGTACTTCTGGAATCAAGTGGGAGAAAAGGAAGGTGAATAAAGGAAATCTAATGCTCTCTGAAAACTAAATTCACACGGTAGAGCTCAATTCTTCATTTCTTCACACCAGGGCCAAACGTCAGCACAGGAGACAAAGCAGAGTTCCGTACAGGGCTGGGACACTCCTGGTCAAATCCCCCACTTCCTTACGGCGCCCGAAGCCTCTAATCAGATTGCGTTCCTGACATTTACCACTAAGGTCTAGGTAGCCAATCAACCCTCCTTTACCAAACCCACACAATGTTGGCTGCTTCGTTCAAAAAAACCTCTAATAAGTGGCATTTAACGCAGATGGTTGACTAGCAATTAGTTTGGTTTGGGGAAGGAAGGAAAGTGGCAGATCCACTCTAAGCAAAATTGCAAAACAAAATTTGTCACTGGCCTGTACCCACCTCCCTTCCACCTCTTTCCAGTCTAGTGTGGCCGCCTCTGCTCTGCTCCTAGGGGCTCAGTGTTGTGATTCTGCCATGGAGTGGGGTGAGCTGTACTCCCCCAAAGAGACCCCCCTTCCAAACTCCTCATCTTCGTTCTGTCGCCCATCAGCACCGATTCCTGCTTCAGGGAGAGCCCCCGTGGTTTCAGCAGACGTTCTAAAGGGTGAGGGGGCAGCTTTTACCCATGACCACAAAGACCGCTGGATGTAAGGGAAGGCCGAGGCCATTCCTTCTCCTTACTTCTTTCCCCCAGGAGAGAAAAACCAGGTGAAATTGGGAGACGCTGCCCAGTTCTATGCTGGATCTGGCGGGGCTCCTCTGGTACCCGAAAGCACTCCACGGTATCCCGGTGCTGCCCCTGGATCTTCACCCCCCAGCCCCCCAGCCCTACACACACATCCAATAGACCTGGCTGCTGCCACTGCTGGGGTCTCCCTTCCTCCAGGACTCGAAGCATTTAGCCATTTGAGAAATTACAGAAGGGACATTTTTGCCCACTGAGATCCCTCCATCTTCCTGATAAATTCCTGCATCTTGACAGCACTCACACTGCTAAACGGAGCGAAATGGGTGACATTCTGCAGATGCAAATCCCCCAAATCAACCGCAAGCACATGGGAAAGATTCCGCTCACGCTGCCGGGTGCCCCCACATTGGGTTAGCCTGCTGGGTCTGAAGTAGGTTTTGATTAAAAACTACTTGGGTCTGGCTCCGGAGTTCAACAGATTAGTATGGTGTGTTGCACTCAGGTCCCTGAGAGATATCGATCGGTCCCTATTTTCAGGGAGGGTGCTTATGGGGGGGAGTGTGACCCACACAAAGCCAGCCCTGTCCGAATTGTAAGGCACTTCCGGCTGCCCCACCTTGAACCTTCTGGTGGCTTGACCAAGTCAGTCTGACCAATCGGCAACATGGAAAGATGGTTGTGGGCAGGAGGTAGAGCACCCTGTGTAACAGTAACGGGCCCTGTTAGGCCTTTAGAAAAGAAACGATCAAGTCTAAACTTACCAGTGGGGCTGCTGTGTCCTCACAAGCTGGGGACACGGGGGACGTCTTCCTCTTTTCCTGAATGGCAGGCTTTACAAATATGACATAGGGCTTGAACTCTGAGGTCCTCAGTTGTCTCAGTGCCTGAGGAAGACAAAAATATTACATCCTTTGAAAATATCTGATGGTGAAACCTACTTTCCTAACGCTCAGTCATGGTGCGCTTCATCCCGTGACCTCAGCGGCAAAGTTTCCGATTACATGGTCAGAGGACAGTGAACTTCACCTGGGCAGATCAAGTGCCCATTGTCTCTCTCTCCACTTGCACTCTGCACACAGCTGGGCCTGGAAGGCCTGCTGGTTCAGAACGCTGTGAACGGAGGTTCCGGAGGCTCAGCTCCGAGGGCTGCCATTTCTCTTGGCTCTGACCTTGCAAGCTCTAACGAACCCTCTGATGCCCTTCTCCTCCTGCCCAGTCCTGATGGATGGGCCAGCAGGATTCAGTGAGTATCCATTTAGTCAAACGTCATCAATTTGGACTGCGCTAATGCAAAGTACGCGCTATCGCAGAGGCCTCGTAAGGCTACTCAGAGAAAAGGTTTGCTAAGCAAATGAAGAGACTGAGAACTCAAAACAAACCGTAAAGGCTTTAGAAGGTTTTCTACAAGCAAACCGTCCTCTTATTGCATTTCTTTAAGGGCCCGTGTTTGGAGACACTGGTATTAAACTGTTCTATGTGCCATTGGCAGCCAAAGCAGTAAAATCACTTTCCCAATAAAATCTTGAAATTTAGACTTTTAATTTTGACTGCCATTCCCCGGAAGTCTAAGTTAGCAAGGATTTTCCTTCTATGTAATGTGCTTTTCGGAGTCTGTTTAAAGCAAACTTCTATAAAATAAAGCCTACAGCTTACATCACAAAATAAGAGCTCTATTTCTATAGAGGAATTTAAAAAAAAAACAGATGAGGTCAAAGCTTAGCAGTCTTTCTCAAAGACAAGGTTAAGGAGCGGGCCGAGCCCCGGTCGAGTGCAGCGCAGGAGAGCATGCAGAACTGAACATGTTGTTTAAAGCACTGCACAGGGTCACGTCTCCTTCCCCTTTTCCTTTCAAACTGCTCCCCCAACCGCCTCCCTCACTGGTTCCCCAGGCCACAGATTTCCTGGTGCTCGTCAAGGGGGGGTGCCCTGACATCCCCCCGGGGCGTTGACATCTAATTCCCTGTCACATCACAACGGGCCAGTTGGTGCCACCATTGACGGCACAACTTGCTCCACACAGAGATTCCTACCCTGGGTTTCTGGGCTGCCAGAGGGTCCGTGAACTCCTTGTAAATTTAATGCATTTTTTTGTGTGTATAGAGGTACATATTTTGGGATACAAAGCTTTTCATAAGATTCTCAGGAAACCTCAAGACCCTCTCAAGACTCCTCGGGAAAGGGAGAACTCAGGAAATGTTAATATCCAGTGCTCTAAAAATTTCTTAGACCGAGACCCAATATTCTGTGAAACGTGCAATCCCCTAATCGAGACATCCCATGAACAAAATATGCCCGACTGGCCCAGGAACTCACATCCGGCTCCACGTCCACCAAGCAAACTTTGTTTTTGGCCATCACAGCCTGAATGGCCTCCAGGCTGGTTCCATAAAGATTCTCCTTATATTCACCATGCTCCAGGAACCTAAAACACCACCAAGGGAGAAAGGGCCTTTAGTTCCTGGGCTTGCCTAAATTAGCACAGACATGGGAATGGCTTGACCCTCTGTGACCCGCTCCCACCTCCTCTGTAAGCCCTCCCAGCTCAAGTGAAATACAGGTCAGAGACAGGACCCACGGCTGCGCAGAGGGCCACCTGGCCCACCGAGGGGACATACTTGTTGTGATGTACGTCGGCCTCAAATGCTTGCTTAGAGACAAAGTGATATTCCACGCCCTCCTTCTCATGGCTCCTTCGGGGCCTGGTGGTATCTTTTAAAGAAAGAAGAAAGAAAGCTGGGCAAAGAGAGGTCACAGTACAGTGAGTGAGAACAGCAGCAAGCCTGTGCCCTTATTCAGAGTTCACGGCTGATTGGTTTATAAACCAACACCTTCCATTCATCCAGGATCCCAGTGTGAATCCCTGACTCACACAGCTCTTTGAGGAAGGCAAAGGAGACCTCCCGTTTTGCAGGAAAGAAAACAGAGGTACAGAGAGGTGAAGCGCGGAGCCAGTGACCCAGAGCCGGCAGACAGCGGAGCCCAGGTCTGAACTCTCTGTCTCCTGCCGAGTGCGTGCCCTCACCTCCCTGCCCAGCTGCCACGCTGATGCTGTGGCTTTCAGAGAACCACTGAGGAACTTCCTCGCCCTGAACTGTTATTATTCCCTAGTCCTAACTGCCTTGTGAGAGCAGAGGAGGCACAAACACAGATGGCTGTGCTGTATGCTTTTAATTCTTTGTTCAACTGTTTCTCATTTTGAGAAAGGAGGAGACTTGAAGACAGTCCCTTTATGGACGAGATGTGCTTCAGCAGAGCTGGCTCTCGCACCGTTTCATAGCACAGAGTATTTCCGGTGGATTTCCACAGCGGATTTGCAGTGCACACACCCTGCTGGGGAAAAAGCAGGTCCTCTGTAGAACAAGCACACGCACGAAGCAACACACAGCTTTTTCTAGAGCGTTCCAAAGGAAGAGACGGGGTCTCGGAAGACAGTGTTTTCTGGCCCTTAGAGGCCACCCAGGGAGATGTTCTGCATCCTCCATCTTTGGCCAAACTCTGGCAGAGCCACTAGGGTCACTCTTCTGGCCATGTCGTTCACATGCTTTAAAACTTCTATTCACCCACTGATTACATTCTAAAGACCTCAGATGAGTAAATGAGACGCTGGGGGTCCACCCACCCTCCAGCTCTGCTTCACTTCCCCCACATCATCCACACCGATGGCCCCAGCCCCCAGTACTGCTATAACAGGCCACACCTTGTCCCTCTGGCACACACTGTTCCCTCTGGAGAGAGCATTCTTCCTTCTCCTCTGTCTGGAAAACTCCTATTTACTCCTCCAAACCCAGCAGAAAGGTCACTGCCTCTGGGAAGCCTTCACTGATTCCCCCAGTTCTTAAATGCAAGGGGGAAGGTCGCCTCTCTGTGTGGTACCTGGAAGCAGGCAGGCCTGACCAGCCAGGTACCCTTCCCCCCAGGAATGGGTCTGAGGGTTTCAAAGGATCTACGTGTGAGCAATTCTGTGTCCTGTTTCAGTCCATTCTCTTGGTCTGGAAGGCTGTGGTCCCCCTAAAACCTACCAGAATGGCCTCCCCAGCCTCACACCCCATCCCCATTGCTGCCACTTCAAGTTGGGCTCTGGAAGACAATTCTGATGACCCACAAACCGGGCAATGAGCCCTGACGCCCAGGGGAACGGCTTTATAGCCACCCTTCCTCAGAACATTCTGGAAAGGTCCCATTACTGCCATCACAGTGTCCCCTTTTGGTGGTTGCCAGCTGCCCACACTGTATCCCCCTGAGGCCAGAGGGACAGGCCACAGAAAGGAAAGGGACAGCCAAGGGCAGGAAGGGGCAGTGTCAAGCAGCCCGGTGAAGACTGTGCCTGGGGCAGGCTGCCTGGGTTTGGAGCTTGACTCTGCCACCTAACGCTGTGTGAGACTGGGAAAGTGACCTAACCCCTCTGAGCCTGTGTCTTCCTCTGCAGGAGAGGAGGATGACAATCTCTCAGGCCCTGGGAAGGCTGACCAAGTCACTCACATGAGAGCTCCTGGTATCGTTCCTAGCGTTCTTTGCTCTCCTCTTCCTCCTCACACTCCTCACACTCCCGTCTATTGGATTTCAGCATCCCTGGCTGCCTCCAGACCCAGGAGCCACCTCGATGGGCCAGATCCAGCTACAAGGAAGCACCCAAGCAATACTGCTCCCTGGGCTCTCTGGCTTCCCCGCCCTATTCTCTTACCCAAGCAGAGGGCAGGGGCCATAGGAGTCAGCGTTTGGAAGAGGAGGCTGGAATGGCCCCCACTGCTAGGGGATCCTTGGTGCTGGGCTGAGGTTGCCACTTTGCCTGCAATGTGCTCAAGACTCACCTCCTGTCCCAGGAGGGAACTGGGCAAGTGATGCCCCAGCTTCTGCCTCAGAGGGTCCTCCTGGTGGACCACTGACAAAGGGCCACACCCATCATGCCCAGGTCCCACGATCTGCCTACAGCCGGCAGTGCTTGGCCGTCACTCAGACCCAAAGTAAAGATGAAGATGGATATGGGAAGTCGAGTCCCCGTGAAATAATTCACGGGGAGGCCTCCCCCCACCCCCCACGTGTGGGCCCTCTTACGTGGAACAGCAACGCCGAAGTGCTGCGGGTTCTCTGCCACCACCTTCTGCTTCAGCTCGTGCAGCCGGGCTCCCAGGGACCCTGGGGAAGGGAGGACAGGCTGACCAGGGACCCTGCCGAGTGCCCTCCCCGCAACTCCAGGGAGGAAACCAGCCCACTCCCTGGAGACACAGAACATCACCTACCGATCAGAACCACCAGGCGGGGCCGCTTACTGGGCTGGTGCTGGTACCTGGTCACCTCCTCGTAGGTCAGCAGCTCCGGAGACTCAGCTGCTACGGACGCCCTTCCTTCCTGCGGGCTTCCCAGTCTCTCCCTGCGGCCCAGCCGGAAGCTCCTCCGAAGACCAGCTTTGGGGACAGGGCAGAGGATACCATGACATTTGTCCGCCTGGCCAGACCTGGAGGTGGAACTGAGTCCTCCCTGGCCTCCTCCTGCTACAGGAAGGGCTTCATCAAGACACACAGTCATGATGAAACAGTGACCGCCCGGCATCTAAAAAGAGGGTTCAAGGTCACTGTTTTACTTGGCATGACTGACCTTGAACCGGCTGTCACCTCTCTGGGCCTCAGTTTCCTTATCTGTGAAATGGAAATCTACAAACAAAATGTGTGGACTGGACCCTGGATCAGGGGAAAACATCTAAAGGCTACTGCTGAGACAATCTGGCAGAATTTTAATATAAACCATGTATAAGACAGTAGAATGGTATGCATGTTAAATCCCCAGAATTTGATAACTGCCCCGGAGCCATGGAAGAGAAATCCTTGTCCTTAAGGAACAAACGCCAAGGTATTTCAGGGTGGATGGACATGGTGTCTACAGCGAGCTCTTACATGACTCAGGGGAAAATGGAGACGTGTAGGAAAAGAAAATGCTAAAGCAACATGGCAAATACAACTAGAGAGTCTGGAGCAGAGTGCACGGGAGTTCTCTGGACAATCCTTAGCGATTCTCAGTAAGTCTGAAATTCCTTCAAGGTCAAAAGTTAGAAAAACCCTTTGCCTGTCTCTAAGGTCTTTGAAAGGACTGACGGATACGGAAGAAGTGAGGGTGCTTTGGAGATGGCGACAGGCTGCGTTATGGCACGGCGGTGGCGTAACCACTGAGTAGACTACAACCCAGATCACGATCATACGATCAGCATTAATGCAGAGGCACAAGTCCCTTTCCAGCTCCTCCTCTGCTGACATAGACCAGGGAGAAATGTGGGTCCCACAGGCAGGGCTGCTCTTGCAAGGTTCCCAGGGCTCGGGTCACTCTGCTTTTGTCTCTCTCTCGGACCCAGGAGCCCGTGACGGGCTGTGCATGGGTCGGGGACTGGGGCAGAGCCCCTGCTACTTACCCACGTAGTACCCTCTGAGGGACCCCTCACAGTCACAGGTCTCTGGGAATCAAACGGAGAGGGAGGCCGGTGAGCTGTGCTGGACACAGACCCCAGCCCGGAGGTACCCAGCCCCTGGATGGTCAGAAAGAGCCCTCTGGAATGGTGTCTCGGGGGGCTCGGGAGAAATCCCATGTCCTGGCCACCCCAGAAAAACAAATTATTCTGTTCAGCTCAGTTCTCCATGCTTAGGCTCCAAATAGCCTTTGCAGGCACTAGCTGGGGTCCTGGGCCAGCAGGCCCACTCCAGGCCCTCTGAGTTAGGGCCGGTGTGAATAAGGGGGAAAGAGTCACTGGCCCTGCCCCCCTCCTGTCTCTTGCCTCCTTCCCAGCCCAGCCCAGGCCTGGGAAGGCTGAGGGGCTGAGCCCTTCCTGGCACCCCACTCTGCAGCCTCAAGGAGCAGGCCGGTCCAGCTGGCAGAGCAGGGAGAGGTGTGCAGAGAGCAGGAGAGCACAGCCACCCCGGAGGGGGGCGTGGGGAGAGGAAGGACAAGCCCCTCCAGCACTAGACATTCCACAGAAAAGGAGCCTTGTCCGTGCGCACAGGAGACAAACACCAGGCCTACCTTTGTCACAAGGCTGATCATCTGCGGTTTGCACAAAAGACAGATGGAACAGCGTTAGTGGAGGGGAACCAGGAGGCCCTGCGGCTGAGAGGCAGCCACGGCCCCGTGTGCCTGAGGAGCCCTCCATCTGTTCTCCCTCCTCTCCTCCAGCCAACCTGGGATCCGCGCTGCAGTGCGTTACGAAACCAGGACTGGCTCTAATTAGTCTTCCTGTGTGTGTCTCATTAGCAGCCCAAAGCGAGCCAGCTCATCCCTGGCATAAGCAGCCTCAAGGCCAATCTATTCACCAGCCCTTCCACTGAGGGCATGTGGAGAACCGTGGGGGTGGGCAGTGCCACCAAGCCAGGGGTGGGCGAGCTTCCTCTCCACGCCCTCGCTGGGGACGCTGATCACAGGCCCTCTGAAAACCCAGCCCAGTCCCACTCCCTCGACCTCACGAGCCTCCATTTTGCCATCTGGGAAAAGGAGATGCCCAGACCCCGCTACCTCACGGGGCTGTTGTGACAAATGCAAGGCAAGAGGGCAGGGGGGTGCCCCTTCTGAAAGGGAAAGAGTTTCACAGAGTAGAGGAGGCAGATAAAACGCAGAACCCTGGGTTCCATTTGAGTTTCAGGAAAACATCGGACCGGTGTTTAGTAGAAGTACACCCCATGCAATATTTGGGAAGTACTAAGAAGTTATTGGCTGTGTATATGAAACTCAAATCGAATTGAGCACCCTTTATTTTTATTCCCCAAATCTGACCCCTCACACGGAGGCACGGGGTCACTGGCAGCCATCTCCTTCCCACCCCCCCCACCCCCGCCAGATCAGAGGCTCCTAAATCGACGGGATCAGAGAGCTCCTTGGAAATGGAGTGAAAGCTGTGGACCTTCTCCCAAACAGACAGCCGCACAAACACACTCACACACAGAAGTCTGCACACAACTTTGGAGAGGGGTTCATGTGCCCCCGGTGCCATCTATGGGCCCCCAGTACAGAAGCTCCTCTCCAGGGAACAGCTCCCCCCAACTTCCCCCCATTTCCCCTCCTCACGCCTCTCCCCACCTCCTTTCTCGGAGCTCAGGGACCCTTGGTTCTCCCTCCAGCCCAGCGGTTGCTTCTTTCTGGCACAAAGCATCCGAGTCCTCATCCCGGCCCCTCCCTAAAGTATCATCCCTGCCGGTCTACTCACAGGGGGGCTTCCTGAGGCTCTGGGGGCTCGGCAGGGCTCCCGTGGCTCTCCGGTGGCTCAGCCGCCTGCAGACAAGGAGACGAGCTGGGTCACCGGACCAGGCAGGGGTGGTCTTACCGAAAACGTGGAGAAACTGTGTGCTGGGTCCCACGGGGGGCACAGCCTCTGCTTCACACTGAGGGGGTTCACAGTTCAGGGGTGCTCACTGCTTCGCAACAGGGAAGAAACTGAGTCTCTTGCTCTGGAAGCAGCTCGCTCAGCCCAAGATGGTCACACACAGGGACCCGGCCCAGTGCCCTTGGTGGGGAGCTGGCCATTTCTTTCCTACGAATGATCCTCAAGGAAGGAAGGCCCCTTCCCCCCTAGGCGGCCTTAACATCCCTGAGGAAGCTGGAAAACAGCAGGGCTCCCAGGCTGAGGGGAAAGCGACCCTAATTTCACCTTCTCTCAGTGGGGACCCCATATTTCCCGATACGGGTGCTCCCGGAGAGGGGGCTGCCCGGGTCTCATCCCTGACCGGGAAAAACGCCCAGGGCTCTTGGAGGGGTTTGGATTTCCACCTCTGAGTGCAGTGGGAGAGCTTCCCCGCCCAGGCCTGTGAAACCGGGCATGCGGGTGGGTCTGAGCCCCACTGAGGAAAGAGAACAGCGGTTCTCACGCTGCGGCGCCTAGGCATCACCTGGAACATTAGTGAGTACACAGAGCTCGGAGCTCACGGCTGGGGTTTCCGATTCAGCAGGTCTGGGGCAGGGCCTGGGAGTCTGCATTTCTCACAGGTCCTGAGCTGGGGGCCACATGACAAGGGCCACTGGAGCGGATGGACGAGGTCTGTGATCAACGCCTTCCACACCCCAAAAGATGGAAACGGGCTTCATACCTCGGGGGGGGGGGGCGATGTAGGTACCTCGCCTTAACTGCCAGCCCCTCTGACCCAGAACTGACACTTCTGGAAATCTATCCTAAGGACACAGTTTGAAATACGAGGAGCAGTCTACGTGCAAGACAGTAGTCACAGCCTCACGGCAGTGAAAGACTGGAGCAGACTGGAAAGTAGGGAAGGAATGAAGTCACGTAGGTACGGTCCTTCCTCCAAGAAACCTTCCCTGCATACCTGGCCGAGGGCCAAACGTTTTACTATGACCTTGAAGAGCACTGTGCTCTCCTCCCTTGCCCCCCTCACATTTATACAAAGTATTTGTCTGAACCACGCGTGTGACTTTTCAGCTAAACCGTCAGCAGCCCACAGGACAGCTGGCACAGGTGAGCTCCATTCATAGTTAAGTGCATTCACGCTGCCTATGAATGAACGCTGCGGCTCCTGATGAAATGTTACAGAGCTGCTGAAATCACACGGTAACTAATAGGTAATAGGTCAAAAAGTAGAGTTAAAAAAAAAAAGAGAGACCTCAGATTCTATATGCAGCACTCAAGAAAAAGCACAGAAAGGAAACAAGTTATGCTGTTTAAATTGTGGCAAGACTTTGGGTAATTTTTTTCCTTGTTTGCCTCTTCCTTATTTTTGTATTTTTTGGTCAACTATACAATATATACAAAGTTAATAACATAGATTTTTCATGTGTCTGTTTAAATCTCAGTCATCACCACCGGTTCTGGGCCAAGAAGAACACACACAAGTACGACTGGTACTTGCCTCAAAGAACAATACACAGTGTGTTCCTCTGGCCACGGTGGCACAGACTCGGGAGTTTGTCGTCTACCCATACCCCTGCCGCTCCTGAACCAGCCCTTACGACACACCCAGACCCACCTTTCCTGGAACTGCTTGGAGGGGATGAGGCCAGCTCGAAGGTTGGTGTCCCCTACCCGCTTGGCCTGCCACCACGTGGGGTCGTCCTGGCTCACCACCTCCAGGACCTGTCTGCGCTGGAAGGGCAGGCCCGCCTCCTGGCAGGGAATCGCCCGGTCCTCCCGTGGGTTGTAGTGGAAGAGGGCTCGCATGAACACCTGTGGGGGACGAGCACCGGTGAGGCGTGTCCATGCCGCCTCGGAGGCCAGATGACAGCCACCATGCACCATGAGGAAGAAGGAGCAGCCTCCAGAACAGAAAGCTAATCAGAAACATACTGCATGTATTTTCTTATTGTTCTTTAACCGTTTGGGATATTATCGTCAGGAATTCCCTCAAGAATCAGAAAATGAATGGGGCCCTGTGTCCAAAATTTTTTCTAACCAAAACGTGTCCTGAGGTACCCAATCTGCTGTCCTTCACACACGACGCAACAATTAGTCCTGGGAACAAAAATGTACAGGCGAGCGTGATCTGTAACTCACACATGACGTTTGACACCCTAACTGCCCCTCATGAAGTCAGCAGCCATCTGTTAAATAAGCAAACTAGATGTTTTGGCAAGAACACATATATCAATAGAACTTCTGTTCCCAATTCCTTGCCACCATTTTTCAGTGGGTACTTGACATCCATGTTTTTTACAGTTCAGTCCTGGCTCATCGGCCATGTACTTGGCCAACCCCCAACTCCCCCCTTTACTCTGAGGTCACCACCTCTGGGGAAGACACAGCCTTCTGTCCCACTTCCTTGGTCTTTTCTGTAATTCGGTGGCGTGGATTTATTCCTATTGGGACTCAATTAGTTTAATAGCAAACAGTTAAAAAAAGGCCAGGGGGCTCCTTAGACCAACGATTTTCAACCTTTTTCATCTCACAACACACATTAACTAATTACTAAAGGTCTATGGCATGCCAAAAATATATTTTTTCCAATCTGATAAAAAAAATAGGTGTAATTTTTATTCACCCACAGTGGATGGCTATTGTGTTGCTGTTGTCATTTCTTCGTTTAACAATCTAAGGGAAAAGAGGTCAGTGCCCCTGACTATATAGTCAGGTGTTGCATGTTTCAAAAATGTTTGTGGCTTACAAAACGTGGTTGAACATTGCTGCCTCAGACACAACCAAATCATACTCCTTTATATGCCCACCAGCAAAGATTCAGTTAGACAACAGTAAGGACTTTCTGGCTGGAGATTGTGAGGACAGAGACCCTCATCAAGCCACAGACGTTAGTCGGGTCCCAGCATTCAGAAGAGAACAGAATCTTAAATGGCCGACCCAGACCCGGCCCTGGCTTAAGCAGAAACAGGAAGGAAGGGCCAGGGGACGGGAAGCCCACGTTGTCTCCCTGTATCCAGTGAAAGCCTTCAGTAGCTGCACAGGGGCCCGCACCAGCTCGTCCCAGGAAGAAGCACCTCCCATCAGGTAAGAGTCCCTGTTATGCACACCCTGCGGTCCAGCGGAAGAGTGCCAACAAGAAGCAAGCCACAAAAAAACATTATTTCTTCATTCGCTATAGTAAAAAAAAAAAAAAACCCCCGACATCAAAGACATTGTCCATTTGTAATCCTCACTCATCAAAATATCTATTCTGTGCCAGGTGCTGGAATGCCCCCCCCTTCACGCACTGAGAGGCCGGGGCTGGGAACCAGCTTTCTTGAAAGCCTGGCGTGCTTCCTCCCATCCACCAGTGAAAAGTACGTAATTCATTATGTTCTCCTTTCTGCCCTGGCTGCCAGGGACGTTCAGATCCGAATTTACCTGAAATCAAACAAGGCCCCCTTCCGCCGTCTCTGCCACCCCCTCAGCTCAGGTCCTAGCAACCAACCTCTCCACTGGGCTCTCACATCAGCCTCCAACCAGGCCTCCCTGCCTCCCCCCTGCTCCACCCTCCTCCAGGGGGCTGCCCAGGAAGCTTTCTAAAACACAACAGTGGGTCCTGGCTGTGGGCCCAGTGGACTGAGTGCCAGCCTGCGAACCAAAGGGTCGATGGTTCGATTCCCAGTCAAGGTACATGCCTGGGTTGTGGGCCAGGTCCCCAGTGCGGGGGGGAGGGGGGGGTGCGAAGCAGGCAACCACACACTGATGTTTCTCTTCCTTTCTCCCTCCCTTCCCCTCTAAAAGTAAATAAACAAAATCCTTAAAAACACATGCGCAACTGTGGTTGCATCACTCCCCTTATAAAAAACAAGCTTCAAGGTCATTCAGAAGACAGCCAGCCCACCTCTTCCCACCCCCAGACCCCACCCCAGTGATCCTTCTCACCGACCCCCCAAACATACTCCTCTCCATTCCTTTGAGCTGCTGTCTTCGAGGACCCCTCTGCCTCAACTTCCCTCCACCTCTTCCTCACCAGGGACCTCCTCATCCTACCTCCCTTCAGCCTCACTTCCTCACGTGGACCCTCGACATCTTCCACGGCTCCCATAACTCTGTACAGCATCTTTCTGCAGCACTTCCCACAGGGCAGCAAAAACCTGCTCACGGCCTCCCCTTCTGCGCCTGGAACCCTCAAAGCCCCTAATCGACCCTGTCGCCAGCATCTGGCAGAGCACCCAGCACAGAGGTGGTGCCCAAAAATGGTAGGCTCCACAAAGAATTAAACAAATGGCAGTTACTTAATTGGTCCCAAAGCCAGCGCATTTGGTACTTTTTCTTCCTCTTTACGGCCCTGATTTTCCATTTCAATTAAAATTTATTAGTCAGCTAGGTCAAATCCCATTAAAAAGAGGCAGGGTACAAATAAATGTTTGTGACAGAGTTACAATGTGTCTCGCACACGCTCCGAGACCAGCTGTATGACCTGTTCCCCAAGGCCGGGTCGGAGCCCTCCTCCTGCCTGCAGCGCCCCTCGTACCTTGCTCTCCCTTAAACGGTCCTCCTCCTGGGTGGCTGGGATGATTTTCAGGGTGATGGACCCCTGGGACTGAGCCTGGAAGGGGAGAGGGCACAGGCTGACCGTCGCGCAGGTCGAACCCCCATGAGTTCACGTCTCACTTCCCAGGTCTGAAAACTCACGTTCAGAGGAAAGCCAGACTCACTGCCCCGCTGTGACCCACCCTTTTGTGGTGGCACCGGTTGAATTAACAAAGCAAAATTCAAAAACCAAGTACCTGCATTTTTAGACGCAGGAACATAAGATTTTAAATGAGAATCCAAGGACACACGTGCACCAAGTTCAAGCTCTGCATCCCTCCTGACCTCTCATGCCCCAAAGGGCTGCCCTTCTTCACTTCCTCCTGAGTTATTTTGAATAACCTAACCCAGTTTCCTTTTCTCCTTCCAACTTGATGGGGGCTGGCTCCCAACCAGTACTTTCCCCTTTGCTTCCATCTTCCCCAGCGGGCTCTCGGATCACAGGCCGCTCCGACCTGCCCAGGGTTCCCCTTCCCTCTGCCTGGCAGAAATCCTGCACCCCCACCGAGGGAGCCCATGAAGAAGAATGTGGGCAGCCCAGGACAGCGCATCTTGCCCATTGGTCTTGCTGGCCCCGCACCCCCCGGAACACGAGGAGGTCAGTGCCCAGAACCAGGGAAAGGGCCGTGAGACGGGAGGACTGACGCGGCTGCCTGCGACCAGGGCCCCTCCATGGGGCCTTGAAGAGCCAGCCTCCTGCCTTCAGATCTCATCCCGTGGCTGTCCCCACAGCACCAGAAGTTAGCGAGAAGGGCCATGTCGAGGAAGAATGCTGAGGATCCAGAGGCCAAGAATATGATGGGGACTCTCTACGGTTTCAGTTTCGACGTGAGCTCCCAGAATGGACCCTGGGGGCTGCTTCCATCCCAGCCCAGGAGTGAAGTCCAGATGTTTACATCCTCGTAACCACCACTCCCAGGATGAGAAACCATCTCTGGCCTTACCTTCCGGGAAAGGAAATTGAAACTCAGGATGATCGGATGCCTTGCCCCAGGTTGCAGGGCCAGAAAGTGGCAGAGGCAGGATTCAAACCCAGCACTGGCTGAACCCAAAGCCCTTGCTTGGGTCCTCCCCGGGCTGTAACCTTTTACATTCCCGGACCATTTGAAAGAGGGGGGGTCTCCTAGAAGGATCCTCGGGAGAGGGAGCTAGGGGTCGGGGGGACAGCTGTGTTGAAGGGTCTGTGTGAGGCAGGCAGACTGGGAGCTCACCTCCCCCTGCCCCCCACCCAGCACCCTTTGGCCCACCCATAAAAACGGGGAGACTGAGCCCTGGCTGGCATGGCTCAGTTGGCTGGGCATTGTCCTGCAAATCAAAGGGTCGCCAGCTCGATTACCAGCAGGGCACATGCCTGGGTTGAAAGTTTGGTGCCCCCGTTTGGAGGTGTGTGAGAGGCAACCAATCGATGTTTCTCTCACATATCAGTATTTCTCTCCTTCTCTTCCTCCCTCCCTCACCCTTTCTCTAAAGAATAAGTAAAATCTTTAAAACAAAAATAAAAAACCGGGGAGACTAAGCCAAATTTGCCCCGGCCCCAGGAAGCGCCACAACCCCCCCAGCACGCGCACGCGCACGCGCACGCCTCACAGACCAGAATCTGGCTGATCTCGTCTGGCCGCTTGTGCAGGACCGTGATCCCGTTCACTTCCCGGAGCTCGTCCCCAACATGGACCAGGCCTAGGAGACACGGCAGTGACCGTCAGCAAGGAGGGAGTCTCGGCCCCTGGAGCTCGAAGCTCTGGGCGTCGCCGGGACTGGGGTAAACTGAGTCCCTACTGTGTGCTGGCTGAGGCGCTCGGCATCACAGCCTCATGACCACCCGGGGAAATCTCCAGTTTACAAGCTGACAGCCGAGATCCAGAAAAATTATGCGCCTTGCCCGGGGCCCAACTGCTAAGAAACCACACGGGAAGACCCTGTTCTTTCTCCTGTACCCTCTGCTTCTCTAAACACTGCATTAACGCTTCACCTTCCTGGGTTTACAGACACACTCCGAGAATGTCCTTCTCAAACCTGAGCAGGAAAACTAGGGAGCACCAGGGGAGATGTCAGCGAGAGTGTCAAACACACCTGTCCGCTGGCCTCCACTTTAATGACAACTGTCTCCCCATATGGGGCCCTATTGCTACTGAAAGTGGACACTGGCCCAGCAGCATTAGCTCTGCCCAGGAGGTGGCTAGGGGTGCAGGGTCTGGGGCCCACCTAAGACCTGCTGGATCAGAGTCCCCTTTAACAAGATGCTGGGGGGGGGGGGGGCAGGGTTCCCATGCTCACTCCCGTTTGAGAAGCTCTGGTCTAGGGTTCTTCACCTCAGTGATCCCCAGGCTTTTGGAGCAACACCCCCCACCCCAGGAGGCTTGCCTCCGCACAGGAGCTCTTCCCCACACAGCAAATTGCAACTTGTTCTCCACCCAAACAAACCCGGGACATGAACCCTCCTCCCCTTATTAATGGTGGCAGCTGGTGGTAGAGAAGGGTGCTGCTGCTCCGCCCCCCCCCAAGCCCAGGCCGTTAGTTCAACTGCCATATCTTAGGGCTAAGCCAGTGCATGAGTCCTTCTGATCCCCCCAAAGCACTCCATGCCTGAGGGATTTTCAAACAATGGAAATTTCTACCTGGCTTGTGAAAGAGAATTCCAGCCCCGCTCCCCCACTCCTACCACATCCCAAATGGGTGATGGGTGAGGGGTAAGAAGGGGAAATGAGACCTGTAGCCAAAGAGGGGAGGCTGGGGGATAAAGGGCCATCACATTGGCCAAGAGGGCACTCACCACTGCGGTCTGCTGCGCCGCCTCGCATGATCCTGGCCACCACGACAGCGCCTGAGTGCTCATCCCGTCGGATGGTGGCACCCTGCATCAGAGACAGAGTGGGCAGGCTCCTTGAAAGCACCCCCACACCTCAGATTCTGATGCTCTGAACCCCAAAGAGCCACCCTGCTCCTCCCTCTGTCCCCCACAGGACAGCTCAGTGGGGACCTTTCCGAAACTGAGGACGCAGTAAAACCAACATCTCTCCTCAGTGCAGTACAGCACTTTACGGTTCAAACAAAGCACAATAAGGCAGCAATGACCTCGCTTTAGAGATGAGGGGCTGGGGCTCGGAGAAGGTGAGCATCCTCAAGGTCACCCAGCTGAGAAGCAGTAAAGCTTTTCATGATGCTGAATCTGGAGCTTCCTCTATCATATCACAGCCCCTCCCTTTTGCAAAGATACTTAATAATGAGAGTGTGTGCCAGCAAATTCTCCTGCCGCTAACCAATCACAGGGGTACCAGGCCTTCTGCTGACGAACGAAACCAATTACGCCCCCGCCAGAGCCTGGGGACCAGGACTTGGTCCATGAAGCACCGAAAAGAGAGGTCATCTAGGATGAGAAAGGCCTGACAAGCCCTCGGTTTTGTGTGCCACGCAGGCTGGGCAGTGACAGGACAGGGCAGCAGTCAGGCCAAGAGCTAAGGCTCGCAGTTGGACAGCCCTGGGTTTGAATCCACGCTGCCATTCACTAGACGCATGCGGCCTTAGCAAGGAAGCCCCTTATCCGCTCTGGGCCTGTTTCCTCTGAGGTGCGAGATAACATTTAACTCTCAGAGTTGCAACTAGGATCACATCAGGTAACACATGCAAGGCACTGAGCATACAATAAGCGCTCCATAAATGCTAACCCTTTATTACTGGATGTACTGCAAACACATAGGCACACTTATTATTATGAACTTCGTTCGTGTCATCTCTTTGAACTACGTAAGATAAATGCTGCTGGACAGAGAGGTCATTAGCTCAGAGCCCTGTGGCTCCTTGCCCCCCAGAACTTCTTGCTCTCCAGCATCTGTGCCCTTCCTTTCCCCTTCCCCCATCTGAGTGGAGGGGCTCCTGCTGTCCAAGCTGGTCCCCCTTCCCCTCCCTCCCGCTCCTGCATCCTCAACGCCCCTTCTCCACTGGCTCCTTCTCCTGGTCCTAAACACTTTTATCAAGTCTCTCCCATCATTCAAAAGCCTGCATCCCCACCCAGCAGAAGCCAGTCTCCCTTCCTTTGGAGCAAGTTTCTTAAAGAAGCAGCATATGCGTGTCTGCTCTCTCTGCCTCTCGCCCTCGGAGCCATGCACTTCTGCCACTTCGGATGCACCCACGGAAGCACCTGGCAACCGCCAGTTGCCACCCTCAGTCTTCTGTCCTCTGATCACCCTCCCGTCTGACTCTGGTGCTCACCCTCCCTCCGGAATTGTCTCTGGGCCCTGGTGACACCTCTCTCCATTTCCTCCCAAAGACAAATCCTCTCCCTGCCTTTGAAACGTGGATGAAAGGGCTGGGATTTAGCCGCAGCCCTCTTCTCGTCTCACTCTGTACGCTCTTTACCCATGAGGTCCTGACCTCTCAGGCGTAACTTTAACCGCTCCTGGAGGCTGGGGGCCGCCAAATTTAGATCTCTGGACACACAACCCTTCCACCTCCTGGTCATCTCCACATTCGAGTCAGACAGGCCTGGTGAATTCAATGAGCCCTAAGCCCCTCCTTATTCCTGCCCCAGACTGCGGCTGCAGCACCCACGCATCCCAGCAGACACCTGGGCATTATCCTGGGGGCCTCCTGCCCAAGCTGTGGCAGCCACCAAGGAACTTTCATTTTATCTCTGGAATCTTTCCTGGGTGTCTCTTCCCTGTTCCCACAGGCCTAAATCAAGCCCCCTTTCTAAACTGCATGGATCTGGCCCCCACCTGCAGATTGGTTTCCTGCTTCCAGCCTCACTATCCAGATCCCTCTCTACTCGGTGGCCAGTGCGCCCCTTCTATACCACAAACCCGGCTGTGCTATTTCATACTTGAAACTTCCCACAGCTCCCTGCTGCCCTCGGGGCCAAGCTCAGTACCTGCGTGTGGACGGACAATCAGGTTCTTTATGACCTGCCAGCGCTCTGGCCTCTCCCCTGTTGCTCTTACCTCCAACTGGGCCTTCCATGTCCACACCAGGCATCCTATGCCCACACCAGGCTTTCTATGTCCACACCAGGCATCCTATGTCCACACCAGGCATCCTATGCCCACACCAGGCTTTCTATGTCCACACCAGGCATTCTATGTCCACACCAGGTATTCTACGTCCACACCAGGCATTCCATGTCCACACCAGGCATTCCATGTCCACACCAGGCTTTCTATGTCCACACCAGGCTTTCTATGTCCACATCAGGCATCCTATGCCCACACCAGGCATCCTATGTCCACACCAGGCAGCTCAGAGCTGCCTGAATATGCCGTCTGTCTACCTTCCCTTGGCTCTGCTTGTCCAGTTGACTGTGTGGAATGCCCTTCCTCTCCCTTTTCCTTCTGGAAAACCCTGTTTCTTGTTTTGGAATTCAGCATGGGCATCGCCCCTTCCAGGAAGTCCCCAGTCACGACCTCCTAAGAACTCCCAGAGAACCAGGGCTTAATCATCTTGGAACTGCCTGCACCCAACAGGGTGCCTGGCACACAGAAGGGTGCCTGATGCGGTTGCCCATTTTGAAGAGAAGGAAAGAGAGGCAGAGGAGAGATCGCGCCCTGTCTGTGCAAGTGGCTCATCTGAGGTCATCTAGTGAAAGCTGACGATAAAGAAAGACTGCCAGCTGCGGTATCCTTCAGGGCAAGCGCTCAATTCTCTGGACTTCCCCTACTTCCGTCCATCCAATAAACAACCTTGTCCCTTTGCTTGGTAAATCAGTGCTGAACCAGAACCCAAATGATAACCATCTGTCAGCTGCGGAGAAGAATGGCTGCTGCCCTGTGTTTCCGGGCATTCAGAGAAGAGACTGGCATTTTTTCTGTCAAGGGCCATATTTTAGGCTTTGGGGGGGGGGCCACATAATCTTCTCTGCAACTACTCAGCTCTGCCCTTGCAATGCAAAGACAGCCGCAGACACTATGGAAACAAAGAGAATGGCTGTGTGCCAGTAAAACTTTATTTACATAATCTGGCAGGGAGCTGGGTTTGGCCCTTGGACCGTTGCTCGCCAGCTCAAAGCATGATGGTCAGGGCGGCCCGGAGCAGTTGTGCAGGTTATCTACTGCACACGGGAGCTTGGCCACAGCTGAGGAAGCCTTGCCTAGCCAGAGACGGGGTGCCCGGCACACAGAAGTGTTGCATGGACCAGGGACAGGCTGACAAAGCCGCCATCACTCACTCCAAAGACTTGAGGAAGGTCCCTGACTAGTTTTCTGGGTGGTACAGGGAACAGGGGGTGCCACATACCAGGGGTTCCTTGTTCTTCACCAGGCGGACGATCTTCACTGATTCCTCATCGAAATCCTCCTCGATATTATCAGGCAGAGGGGGGAGAACAGGGTCAAAGTTCTTCTGGGCAACCGTGTCATGCACCACGAGCATGGCCTGTTGGGAAGGCAGGAGGAAGGAAAGGCTGGCCCAGAGCTCCCAGGGGCCTGGGAGTCCTAGATTTCACGCCAGAGAGACAACCACCCCAGATGCCCAAACTGAGGATCCCTCACTCAGAAGTCTCCCTTCCTCAGTCTCACGACTGAACACTCCCTCCTGCCCCATCTCACGAGACACAAGCTGTGTGGGTGGGCAGGAGCTGTGGCGTGACTACCCTGAGGTGGGGGGTGGACAGCAGCTGGAGCAGCTCCCTCTCATCGCTGTGCACAGAGGCGGCCTGCAGCTCCTCCATCACCTGCAAGGCAAGGAGACAGGAGGCCATGGGTGCTTCGAGCCTGCTGGGAGTCACCAGGGAAACCCCTGCTCCCCAGACCTCAGACCCGAGGCCCCTCCCAGGAGCTGCTGCAGCACCAGAAGCGCACCAGGCCCTGGGCCACCCAAACCTGAATCTCCCAGGGAGATCACACCGGGGGCGGGGGGGGGGGGAGTTGGGCAGCTCCACAGAACAACCCTAATGGGTGCTAATTTACAAATCCTTCACTGGGCGTCACTTGCTTTTTGTGGACCCTCTCACTCAACTCTCACAATGACCTAGATGTAGTGGGCACTGTCATTTTGCCATTTTACAGATGAGAATTTAATGAGAAATTAAATCTCTCGCCCAACCTCACAAAGCTGGTACTCAGCAGAGCCAGGACTCGAGCCTGGACTTGTCTGGCTCCCTTATCTGTGCCCTTCACCACCGGACTAGTTTATAGATGAGGAAATTGGGGCTCAGAGAGCTTGAGTGACTTCAGGTCGCAGAGCTAGCAGGACAGGCAGTGCTGCGCCCTGGAGCCTGGCGACCTAACATGCGCCCCATCACACTCGGAGGAGGAGAAAGGCGTGGAAGCCGCACCCACGGGCTGCACCCTCCCCTCAGCAGGCCACCTCCGGGGCTTAGGTGAGTTCATTCAGGCTGGACTTCGCAATCAACAGGGACTGCTCTCCCCAAACCATGCGGCACGGAGGACAGGTCCCCAAGAAATTAGGAAGCGCTCCTTTAAAACACAAGAAGCCTGAGCAGATGTGGGAGGACGGACTGCCAGTTCCTCGCCCCCAGGACTTCCCTGGGGCCTCCGCAGACAGGCTGGCCTGTTTGACCTATTCGTATGCCAGTCCCCAACGGTGTGGGAACTGCAGATCGGATCCAAACGCTCTCCCTTCACAGCCGGAGAAACAGACTTTCTCGGGAACAGGGTGAGTAGGCGTCATCGTGTCTCCACGTCCCCCAGCTGGGTCCAAGGCTCACGAGTTCCTCCCAGACTGTTAGGAGGCCCAGGGAGGAGGAGGAAAGGCAACCCTCTTCACCCGGGGGCTTCCCAAGTCCCAGTGTCCCCTGGCTCAGCAACGGTGAGGAGGCAAGACGATGGCACGCTGAGGGACGGGGAAAGGGTGACACCGGATGGAAAAGCCTGGGGCTTACATCCTCGGCGAGGGCCACAGCGCTGTGCAGAACAGGGGTCGGACTCTGCCTCTCGTAATAGCGCAGCTTGTCGTGAATCTGCAAAGACAGCCGATTTCTGGCTGGGGCCTCCCAAGCCAGCTGCTGAGGTTTACCCTGGACAGCACATGGCCCGCCCACGGCTGTGGGGCTGCAAACTGGGTCATCCACGGGGCAACGTAAGAGAAAACCCTGCACAGTGGGCTAGTGAAGACCTTCCTGGGGCAGAGGGCCGGCTAGGATGACCACCACCGGCCGCAGCTAGCTAGAAAGACCCCTGGAAACCCTCACCAGAGGGGCGGAAAAGGGGCTCTACCTTCATTAAGTAACCGAGGCTTTTCTCACTGAAAACGTCCTGCAGGAAGCCCATCTCCTCCTTGTGGTTGGAGTCAGGTCTGAGTTGAGAGGTCAGCAGCGCCAGGGTTTCATGTAAGCCTGAGGGGAGTGTAAGGAAAACAGAGTACAGCAAATGCAACGGTACTTCCGCTGGGACCCCCAGCGGGAACCCCCATCGGGCCCTCCAACGCTTCAGCCCTGTCCTGGGAACACTCTCTTCCCAGGCTCTCATTCCCAGGGCTTGGAGGCCGGGCAACTCCTGACAGCCAATGCTGAGAGAAACCTGCTTTCTTTCCGGCCTGGCTGCAGGGCAGGTTCTTGTCTTCAGGGCCCTGGAGGCCCAGCCCCAGGGAGGCACTCACCAGAGTCCTCCGACAGCACCGGCATGTCTGTGCTGGTCAGCTCCCCGCTCTGCCTGTGGATGGTGGGAGGACAGGGGGAGGGGTGAAGCTCCACCAAGCCTATTCATTGGACAGTGAGGACATGTCGGCTCTGTCCATGGCCCATATGGGGACAGAGGAGATGGGAACACATAATTCTCTGCTCACTTTTTTTTTTTTTTTCTTCAGGGAGGAGAGAAAACTGGGATTTGCTCAGTGTCCCTGATGCACGAAACATTATGCTGGGTGATTTCACACAACATTTTTCTTAATCTGCACAAAGCCCTGAGGAATGAGTACTAATATTACCATGTCACTGAAAGAAACAGAAGCTTGAAGGAATTCAGTAACTTAAGGGCCCGAATTCACTCTCCTCCTCAGCACCCCCCTTCTCCGGTGCCCTTCTAAGAGGCCTTGATCAAGTCCCTTGCCTGCCACACCTTCGACAAGTAACTGGCCAGGCCCACAAGCTCCCTCCGTCCCCTGGTCCCTCAAGCCCCAGTCCGAAGGGCGCCTCCCCCTAGAATAAAGCATACGGAGGAGGTGGAGAAACGGGAGCGCAGGTGGAGGAGCCTGTCTCGGAAGGCCCCCCAACGTGCTCCGCAGCACGTGGACCTCAAAAAGTCCTCCTTCGGAAGGGGACTAGGAGAGTAATGATTCATTCATTCTGAAAGCAGGGGCCAGCCCCTCTGCGCCCGAGCGCGGTGACACTCAGATGCCGAAGAACAGTGCCCGGCCCTCCCACTACCGTACACCCCCCACCCCAAGCCGCACTGGCCCGCTGGCTCCTCCTAGCTGAGCCCCTCACCCCTGCTCCCCCCAGGCGGCCAAGCATAGACTCCAGCTCGCTTTCCGAAGGAACCTGTGGGACGAACGAGGAGCGAGGCTGGGCTAGAGAGAGGCGAAACCTGGGGGACGCCGGCGAGGCTGTCTCGGACGGAGGATGCCGAGCGGCCGGAAAGGAGTAGGGCGCAGCGGGGAGGGAGTGCAGGAGGGAAGGCGGGGGCCACGGGGAGGGGACTGAGCTTCCCCTTACCCCCAGCGGGGACTCGGAGGGCCGCGCGGCTGCCGCGGGCACGAGGGGCGGGTCTCGGCTCCGGATCCACGCCCACGCCTGGCCCCTCCCGCCGCGGCCCCAGTCCCTTGTCTGTTCCCAGCCCGGTTTCCTACCTGGGCGCGCCGGAATCTCCGCTCCAGCCTGCGAGCTGCGAGGGGGCCCTGAGCCTCCGCCGCCGCTGGCTCCGCCTTCCCGGCCCCTCCCCGCAGCGGCCGCGCCGGGAGGGGGCAGCGGAGCCGGAGGAGGCGAGGCGCGAGGAGGAGGGAGTAGGGGGCGCCAAAGGGGGAGGAGCGGAGGCCGTGCTCCGCGCACGGCACCGCGGGCCCTTCGCTGGTCTGCGTGGCAGCCCCTCCCCAGTGCCCTCCCACTTGAGCCCCAAGGAGCCCCCTGCCTGTGTCCCCCCACAGCCCGGGCACGCAGCCAGCCTTCCCTCCCGCCCCCACCGCCCACACGCACCCACCCCCAGCGCGCGGCGGGGTGGACGCTTGCTGAACATATAATTAAATTCTGCAAACATTTATGGAGCGCCCTCCAAGTGCCAGGCTCTGTGCCAGGGGCTGGGGATTCAAAAACGACAGAGACGGGGATCCTGGATTTGAGGGACTCGCAGACCGGGCGGGAGACCGGTCAGAGGCGAGGGCCGCTCGCGGTTAACAATGCAACTCTCTGGAAAAGATGTACGGGTGCCTGCTGCCCCGGGGGCGAGGAGCGGTGAGGGCGGGAGAAGTTGGGCTGGGGAGACCGCCAGGCTGGATTCCGCCCGGGCGAGGGAGGGAAGGGGCCGAGGAGGGAGTGGGCGGCTTGTGCGCAGGGACTCGGAAATGGCCCTGACGACCGCTGATTTTTATTTTGCTGTCTCTGTGCCTCAGGTACTCCTCAAATCTCTTCGCATCACAGAAGCCTCTAAGGCAGAGAGACCATTATTATCTCTGCTCTGTGACTGAGGAAACTGAGGCTCCCGGGTGGAAGGCTGTGTATGGGGGAGTGAGCAGGTGGTTGTGCGTGTGGGAGCGTGAGGAGCGGGCGAGCCCCTCCCCTCTCCCCAGCAGCCAAGAAAGGGCTGGGGAGGAGATGGGTCCACAGCCACCCCACCCCCCACCCCGTAGCCTGCAGTGCATGATGGGGAGGTTGTCAGTGCCAGAGTAGGTCATGATTACATTTCCCCTCCTTTCTCAAACATCTACACCAGTGCTTCTCCAAACGTAAGGTGCTTATGAATCATCTAGCGGTCGTGCAGGGCTGGAGCCCTGCCAGATTCTGCATTTCTAACAAGCTCCCAGGGGGTGGACGTTCCCCTGTCTCTGGACTTCACTTGGGGTAAAGAAAGACTACAGGAGATGCAGTGTTATCTGGGGTGTTCAGTGGTCCATGTCAAGAGCCATCTGATGTAGGGTCAAATGATTTTTTTAAAGATTTTATTTATTATTTCCAGAGAGAGGAGAAGGGAAGGAGACAGAGAGGGAGAGAAACATCGATTGGCTGCCCCCAAATGGGGACCCAGCGCACAGCCCAGGCACATGCCCTGACAGGGAATCCAACCCGGGACCTTTCTGTCTGCAGGCCGGGCTCAGTCCCCTGAGCCATACTGGCCAGGGCAAAGGTCAGTAATTTTTGACAAGGGCACCCACACATGATGCTGGGACCACTGGATATTCATGTGTATGTATGGAGGGAGAAGGAGGGGAGTGAATCCCTACTTGACACCACACAGGAAGTTCAGTTTAAGAGGGACCATGGCCCTAAACACAAACTAAGCGGGTAAAGCTTCCAGGAAAAAAAAAAAAAAAAACATAGATCATCTTTCGGCAGGCAAACGCTTCTTAGAAAAAACAAAAAGCATAGGCCCTAAAAAATTGATAAATGAACTTCATGAGAATTAAAAACTTCTGTTTATCAAGAAAATAAGTAAGCGAGCCAAAGATGGAGAGGAAATATTCATAACAGATACATCTGACAAAGGACTTGTATCTGCAACAAAGGACTCCTGCAACTAAACAACAGTAATAACCCAAATAAAGAGCCAAACATGTGAACATGTATCTCCCCAAAGAAGATAAGCCTGTGAGAAACTGCCTCTGCAATGTCATTTGTCACCAGGGAAACACACATGAAAGCCACAAGCAGGTATCACTGCACATCTACCCCGTGATCTGACAATTCCACTCCTAGGTTTCTATCCAAGAGAAATAAAGCCATCTGTCCACAGCACCTGTACGAGAATGTTTAATGCATCCTGATTCATAATTGCCCCAAACAGAAAACAATCCAGATGTTCATCGACAAGTGAGTGGCTAAGTGAATGTGGTATATCTGTACACTGCCACAGTCACTCATCAGCAGAAAGAAACAAACTACTATGGAAGGTTGTTCCTCTCCTGCAGCCTCATGGATGAATGTCAGGTGCGTTACACTGAATAAGAGGCAGACATGAAAAACACAGACTGGCCTCAGCCGCTGTGGCTCAGTGGATTGAGCGCGGGCCTGTGAACCAAACAGTTGCCAGTTCAATTCCCAGTCAGGGAATTGAACTGGCACATGCCTGGGTTGCAGGCCAGGTTCCCAGCAGGGGGCGTGTGAGAGGCAACCACACATGGATGTTTCTCTCCCTCTCTCCCTCCCTTCCCCTCTCTCTAAAAATAAATAATTATAAAATCTTAAAAAAGGGAAGGAAAGAAAAATACAGACTGTATGACCCCTGGGGTGTGTGACCTGGATGTTGTCACTGCACACAGATTTGACTCAGCTGGTCCAGAGATGACATTTATTATTCTTACACAAATTATCGGAAGTCCTCCAGAAGAGACTGGTATTAACAGGCTGATCTCAATAGAGTTGTCAAAGAAGCACCAGATAGCTCTGCAGGAGAATTCCACCTAATTACAAGAACAGTGGTCTTCAACTCTCCCAGAACAGCAATTTTCAACCAGCATGCCACAGGAATTCTTCATACATGAGACACTGGACTAGTCAGGGACACTGACCTCTGTTCCCTTAGATTGTCAATGAAAAAAATGACAGCAGCCAATACACTAGCTGTTTTGTATAAATGAATAAAAATTGTGCCTGTTTATTTTGGGAGGGGCAGGTGTGTAAAAAATGCTTTTTTTTGGGTGTGCAACAGAACTTTAGTAATTAGTTTATGTGTGCCATGAGATGAAAAAGGTTGAAAATCGCCATTCTAGAAATATACAAATCTCCAAAATTCTTTTTATAAAGTAAACATAGCATTGATACTAAAACCTGTCAAAGAAAGCAAACAACCAATCCTACAAACCAGTCTCACTTATGAAGAAAAATCCTAAAAACTATTTTAGCTGATGACTTCACCAGAGCACCAAAGGAATAATACCCCATGGTCAAGCAGAGTATATCCTAAAAATGGCTTAATATTTGGAAAATAAGTGGTTTAATACTTGGAAATGTATTACTATCGCTCTACATAAGGTAATCTATTAATAGGATGAAAAGTAAAAAATTAATGTAACCTCCATAGATGCTTGAAGAGGCATCCATGCATGATTTTTTTAAATGTCTTTCAAAAATGAAGGTAAACGAAAGATTAAACATAAAATTACCATAGGATCCAGCAACTCCACTCCTAAATATATACACAAGGGAAATGAAAAGAAAAACACAAGAATTTGTACAAGAATATTCAATTAGTGCAGTTTGTAATGACCAAAAGGTAGGAAAAAACTCAAATGTCCATCAACTGAGAAGTGAATAGATAAAATAGGGTATAACTGTTCAATAACATATTATTTAGAAATAAAAAAATGAAGTACTACCTGGCTGGTGTGGCTCAGTGGACTGAGCTTCTGCCTGTGAAACAAAGGGTTGCCAGTTCGATTCCCAGTCAGGCCACATGACTGGGTTGCAGGCCAGGTCCCCAGCAGGGGGCGTGGGAGAGGCAACCACACATTGATGTTTCTCTCCCTCTCTCTCTCTTCCCCCTCTGCCTAAAAATAAATAAATAACCTTTTTTAAAAATGAAGCGCTAATACATGACTCAACACAGAAGCTCGAAATATAATGTGATGTGAAAAAAATTAGTCACAAAAGACCACATGTTGTACGATTTCATTAACGTGAAAAAAATCCAGAATAAGCAAATCTTCAGACACAGAAGGATAGTGGTTGCCTAGCCTTGGGGAATGGAGGTTTCTCTCTGAGGCAATGGAAGTGTTCTGAAATCAGATTACAGTGACAGTTTTTTACAAGTCTGTGAACATACGAAAAACCACTGAGTTGCATACTTTGAAAGGATGACTTTTATGGTGTGCAAAATTATATATCAACCACAATATATGGTGGTTTTCATAAAAAGTAAATGATCTAAATCCTCCAAGTAAAAGACAGAGATTGTCAGGTTGAATTTTCTTTAAAAAGCAAAACCTATAACTGTGTGCTAGCTACCAGAAACTCATGTTAAGCATGAAGATATAGAGATATGAAAAGAAAAAGAATTTTTAAAATGTACCACAGAAATACCAATTAATAAAGCTGAAGTGACTACATTAATATAGGGCGAAATAGACTTCAAAACAAGAATTTCTACCAGGGATAAGGGGAGATATTTCATAATGAAAAGGGATCAGTTGACCGAGGAGACGTTGCAAGCTTAAATGTGCATAAATGCAGTAATTAAACCTTCAGGGGCCTCCCGTTGCCAGAACCATTTATCATCGCTCCGTGGTGTCGTCCACTGTGAGCAGATGAGAAGTGACAGGCAGAGAGACTAGGAGGAGGCAGGTCAGGCGAACACCTGGAAAGTTGAAAGGAATGACTAAAAATCAAGATAGAAATGATGAGAAAAATTAAATAAGATGGCAGAGTACGTCGATACTAAAAATCCAACAACTTTCTTATGAACAAAAATAATTCTAAAGTATAGTGAAAAAAATTCCAAACAGAAAAAGAAGCAACTAGAGAATTAAATGCCAAGTTATAAATTTATGGGAAAAGTGAAGGATCTATTGAGATATTGGCAGGGGGAGGGGAGACTTTTAAATGCTAGTAAAGGACATACAGTACGAACTAACTCAGAAAACAGGGCAGTTTTAATACTGTTGGTACGTCGATTCATTCTAAAAAAAACAACCTTCAAACACAATTCAACCCTAATTAACATATAAAAAGGGTTTTCAGAGGGAACTTAT